CGAAGCCCTCAAGCGCCCCTAGTGCGCTGGGTTTGGCCTGGGATCGTCGGGCCCAAAAACGTGCCGAGCTGGCGAATTTCGGCGTCTTGGGGGCGCGACTGGTTTTCGGTGCCGACGCGAAAAAATGGCCTGGGAGGGCCTGTTGGGGGCGCGGTTGGAGATGCTCTAAGCTTGCGTACCAAATTGTTGTCCTAGAACGGATATCTAATGGTATATTTTTTATGGGACATAACAAATATTTTGTTATGTCATTAAAAGTTTCTCTAGAATGTATATTTTTTATGGGACATAACAAATATTTTTTATGATACATGTGCAAAGACTATGTCATTAAAAGTTTCTCTAGAACGTATGTCTAATGGTATATTTTTTATGGGACATAACAAATATTTTGTTAATCAAACTGACGGTCAAAGTTTATTCAACGTGTAAACCTAACAAATCAGGATAGAAGGAGTGTTTTAGTTGCACTCTGAGATAGATAAGTGTATGTTGCGAAAATTTCTATTTATTGCAAACTAGAAAGTTTAGTTGGTCAAACAATGTGAACTATGTAGGTAAGTTTAAATCCATCATGGAATAGATAGAAAAGAAAATTGAGCTAAAATTTCGTGCTCCGGCGTGGTCAATAACCTTTCGAAGTTGGTTTAACGATTACTAAGGCGCAACGTCGTGCACATTTGTAGTCGGATCATCAAAGTCGTCTCCACCAAATCGATAGTTATCATCTCATCGAAAGATCGGGCCCCTCGCCTCTATCAAGTGATATCATCTCATGAAAGATCGGGCCCCTCGCCCCTATCAAGTGGTATCAGTTTTCAGGTTGCTCGGTGATAATTTTCAGCTTTACCTAGATTAGATTTATTTTCTCACCTATAAAGTTTAGTTGGTTAAATGATGTTTTTTTTCTTTCTTTTTTTTTCTCGTCCATGCATAGTGTTGGTCTTATATGACTTTGCTATTTGCATGTGTGTTTTTTGTGTGGGTTGGTGTTAGTTGTGTACATCCTAACTGTGCAGAGGCTGGATGTGTGCTCATCGCGTTTGTATTCTCTTGATACTTCATTTTGAGCTAATAAAATTCATCCTTTTTCGAAAATCATGGAATAGATGTCTCAATTCAAATTTACTATTTCTAGACCTCTCACACATCATCAACTCGACCACCCATGCTGTGACCGTGCAGACTTGCTGTTTAGGGTGTGTGCACTATAACCAGACAACATCGCTACTTTCTCCGGACTGGAATATAAGCCGGGTAGGAGATTTTAGGTCTTCAATTTAACTTTATATAGAAACATGTGTAATATATGCCATAACAAATACAGTACATAGTTAGAAACTTTATTTGACGGCGAACCTAAAGATATTATTTGTGTCATATAAATTTGAAGAACTGTTACAAACAACACGAAGATACCATCTCCAAAAAATAAACAAAACGAAAATACCACAGCACTTCCGGATCACTCTCCTTGCAAGTAATCGGCCAGGGGCTACGGTAATGATGGCGCAAGTCAAGTCACGAGGCGCAAGCTTTAAGCCTCAGCTAGCTAGTGCTGATTCATTGCTCACCGGCCGGTCCGTGAGTGAGCCGGTGAAGCACCGACGCTACCACTCGGCCAAAGCTTTGCTTTCATTCGTCCACCTCAAGAAAACGGCGTCGCATCAGTCAACCACCTAGTGACCTAATGCGATAATTACCCTACGGCAGCAGCAGCAACATCCAGTGAGAGCAACGCCAACTAGTGCTCGAAACAACTTGAGACGCACGCGAGACCTCAGACATGGCAGCCAAAGACGGCCACACATCATTGCATCATGAAAAAGACAAGCCGAGCTACCTCAACCCTCACTTGGTTTAACTGCCAAGAATATTTTCACAACACGGAAGAAGCAGTAATTAAGCTCTGAAATTAACTGCCTAATGGACAGAAAATTACATGATAAGACGGAACAAAGCATGAATGTGTGTTTCAGACAAGCAACAAGTCGATCGGGTACATATAAATAGTAGCATCAGAGTATCTCCAGGGAGAACCGATTATATAGCGAGTTTGAATGAACATTATGCGGAAAAGAAAAAAGAAAAAAAAGAGTGGAAATTAAGTAGGCTCGGAACAACAAAACTTTAAAAGAAAGGCGGTTAACGACGGCGACGGCGTAAGGGAATAATTGTAATGGTCTCTAGAAGCGACAGCGCAATCTGCCAATCTGCCTTGGCTTAGCTATGAGCTAACATGGAATGAAGCCTTGTTCCCACATCATACGGCTGGCCAGTCCTTCCTAATCTCAAAGTGGTAACTCATCTCCAAGTAGTTCTTGCCATCATCGTCAATAAACTGGAAATGGAAAGAAAAAAATTGTTAATTGCAGAAGTGGTTAATCGACCAATCAAACTGAAGAACAAAGTGATTAGTGGAACATTAGCTTTAAATTTGATAAGTACTGCATGTATTACCTTTAGTTTAGCAGAATAGGAGCCTCTTGCAAACATGCCAGCAGGGGTGGTCTCTTCTTCACCCTCATATGTGTAGGGCTCTGCCTGGGGACTGAATGTCCCCAGCATCATCTTCTGGTTCTCAACTGCGACAGGGGAACATCGGATCAACTACTTCTAAAGGGAAAAAAGCCCAGAGCACAGCAAATTAAGCCTATTTATGTACCAGATGATCTTTATTACTTTTGCAGTTAGATAATCACTACAAAATCCACATATGATTAGGAAAGGTATTTCATCAACTTCTCCAGCAGAATTTTGTTCGTTGTTGGGGAAATAATTTTCATCAACTTTTCTCAAGTCATGCAGGGGATATTGTGTCAATTTCAGCGTCTTATACAGATGTCAGATCCAGGAGGGAAATGTAGTGCAAATTAATATACTCCTTAAGGAAATAGGTCAGTTAGATGCCATTACGTTATCTAAAATGTCCTACATATCTTTTTCTTGACGTCTTAAATGTTCCTGAAGAGTACCACAGAAAATTTCAGAGAATCATTTACTGTGGCATTCAAAAGGGAACGATCGATGTCACTTCAACAAATTTAAGAGTACTATATTCAACCATCATTTTCATTTGATCTAGAATCTACTTCTGCACTAGTACGATCTAACAACCAGCTGAAGAATGATATTAGGAGGAGTGATCATGTTGGTGTCTGTGTGTGGTGTCACCTCTTACTCCAGTCTTCCAGACGGTGTTGGTGTACTTGAGCCCCGACACAATGTTGTTGGAGACGATGAACGAGAAGCGGAAGCTGTAGGCGCTGCCGTCCTTGAGCGCAAAGGCGTAGCCCTTCTCGTCGGGGACGAATGGGATGGGCAGGACCAGGTCCGGCCGATCCGGCGACAGGATGGTCAGGTTCAGCACCTTCACCTCGGGCTCCGCAGTCTCTGTGTTCCTCAAACAATTTCAGAGCCGATCAGGTAAATAATTGGCAGATGGATACAAAGTTGAGATCAAGAAAGCAGGCAGGTCGGCGAGGAGGGTGTTGTGATGTTAACCTCCGAGCTGCTCTGTGTCAACCTGCCCAAGCAGTTGCTCCTTCCACCTCCTCAGACTCTCATCATCCTGCATCGATCATCATCGTTAGAAACAAACGAGGATCGCATGAGGAACGAATCAATTCAACTGCCAGATTTCAGTTTCATCGGTATCAGCATTGAAGAAAGTTTCCGAGAATGAATGGCATGGAAGGAAACGAACAAAACAAATCACTAATTAATCACTGATTAATCGGCAGTTAATTACCTTGTCGAGCTCGAGCTGGTCCTTGAGGGGCACCTGGGGGCCGAGCACGACGGCGCGCTTGGCCTCCTCATCCTCCTCCTCCTCGACCTCCTGGTCGGGGTGGGCGGAGTGCTCATCCTTATGGTCCATGGCCGGCGACGCACGGACGTGCGCTCGCAACTCTGCCTCCCGCGCGAGGCTCCTCCTCCGTCACACCTGGGAGAAGGCCGGGCAGAGGGGTGGCGGTGCGGTTGACGGGGCGAGCGGCGGCGATCGGAGGGAAGGAGGGAGGGAAGGGGGGCCGCGGTGCGCTGCGCTCTCTATCTTTTATGCTCGAGCCCGCCCGCCTTAACTATTTTAACAGGCGCAATCGGTGGCGTGGCGACTCCACCTCCCCCGCGACGAGCGCGCCGCGCCACCCGAATCCAAACCCCCGACGCGCCTTTCCAGGATCCCCGGCCCGGCCCCCGCGGCCCGCGGAAGACCAGGCACAGCGCGCGCGCAAGTGGGCCTGGGCCGCTGAGCTGGACCGAGCCGGGCCGACTACTGGAGCCGGAAGTGAGTGGAAGCCGCCGGTGGCCGGGGAACTCTGAGGCTGGTGGGTATGGCGAGGGGCGCGAGGCCGGTGCGGTGGCCGCGGGTGCTGGCGCCGGCGCACCTGGCCGGGGCCATCCGGCGGCAGAAGAGCCCGCTCGAGGCGGCGCAGCTGTACGCCGACGCGCCCGGCTGGTACCCGCGCGGCTCCTACCGCCACAGCGACGCCGTCCACGCCTCGCTCCTCGCCGCCGCCTCGTCCTCCCCCGCGCTGCTCCCCTCCCTGCTCCGCCGCGTCCTGCGCCGCTCCCCCTCCGCAGACGCCCTCCTCGCCGCGTCCATCCCGCACCTCCCTCCCACGGACGCCGCCTCCATATTCCGCTCCTCGCTCCCCGCCTCCCCCGCCCCGTCCTGGTCCCTCTCCTTCTCCGCGCTCCTCCGCCGCCTCCTTGATCGTGGCCTCCTCCCCGAGGCTGCCAGGCTCCTCGCCGACTTCCAGGGGCGCCCTGAGGTGTCCGTAGCGTCCGAAGATCTCACTCTGCTGATCGAGGAGATGTGCCGCCTGCGGCGCCCTGACCTCGCGCTCCAGGTGCTCGAGGAAATGTCTAATCAGTGTCTTGAGCCGGACAGAGGCGCCTACCGCGCGATCGTTCCTGCGCTCTGCGATGCTGGCATGCTCGACGAGGCTACGCACGTCGTCTACTCCATGCTGTGGCGCGTGTCGCAGCGGGGCTGCGATGGGGATATTGTGGTGTTCCGGGCGTTGCTGGTCGCGCTCTGTGCTGCTGGCCGGGGTGAGCTGGCAGAGCAAGTGCTGGATAAGATTATCAGGAAGGGGCTGAGAACGCCAGGTAGTAGGCGCTCTCTGCGCGTTCCAATGCTTGCTGTGCTTACCATTGAGGATGCCCGGGAAGCCATTGACCGTGCTTTGGTTGTCCGAGGTGGACGGACTGTTGCGAGCTTTGAGTCCATTATTCTTGATCTCTATGACGAGGGACGGTTGAATGAAGCAGACAATTTGTTTCAGGACATGGGCAAAAAGGGGTTCAAGCCGACAATATGCATGTTTGAAGCCAAAATCGTTGCCTTATGCAGGGAACAGAGGGTAGATGATGCAATCAAGGTGTTAGAGGAGGAGTTGGCCAAGAATGGTCTCGTTCCCACTGTGACAACATATAACTTGTTAATGAAGGGTCTTTGCGATGCTATGCAAGCAATGAAGGCCCTCGGATACCTTAAAAAGATGGATAAGCAGCTTGGCTGTGTTGCTCGAAAGGAGACATTCTCTATCTTGATTAGTGGATTGTGTTCAGAAGAAAAGTTTGTTGAGGCGGCAAGGGTTATGGAGAGGATGGTGAAGAACCACCATCGTCCTGACAGAAATGAATTCAGCAACGTTATTGAAGGTTTATGTTCTGTTGGCAGAACATACGATGCATTGGTATGGCTAGAGGAGATGGTTGACCATGGAGAAACACCTGATGTCCGTGTTTGGTCTTGTTTGGTTTCATCATCTTTAGGAGTAGGAGAAAGCGTTATGGTTGCAGCTATGTGAGAATTAGGATTTAAGACAACAGTACTCTTGCAGCACACCAAAGACAATGCAACGGAGTTGCCTGTGATGGTAATAACGCTGAAGAGAAAAAGAAAGACAGTCTGCCTGTAGAGATTAACCTGAATTCTTGCCAGTTTGTATCGGTATGAAGGGGAGGGGAATTGAGCTAGCTATGTTGTGTCCACCAACACGAGGAGGTTCAAGGAGTGCTGCTTGCTTCTGTTTCGGCCTGAGGCATGTTTGATGAACAGGTGGAGCTGCCATCACAATGAAAACCATGGTGCTGTTGTGGACGTGGTGGTGACAGGTTGGAATCTCAGTAACGCTGAAGGAAAGAGAAGACCGCCAGGAGAGGTGACTTTCTTTATACACCCCCACAAGACCCAGTATGGATTCGTGGAGGAGCAGCCAAGAAGCTCGCAGGTATCAATTCTTATTTCTGATGGCACGGCTGCCATTGCCAACTTGTTCTTGAGAGTGAACACAGACCCAGCTTTTGATCAGGGTGCTGGGAGTAGTGGCTGAGTTTTGTATGGCACTGTGGTGGACTGTTGGCAGCCGCGCAATAGTCATGGTGTTGGGATGTTTATAAGGACCTTGAAGTATGCTGAATGTTTGGTTCTTTCATATGCCGATGAGTTGTAATATTAGTATTAATATCGCCCACTGTCGGGCTAAGCATAACGTCATTGTAGGGCAGGATGCTGTCATGTGGAGAGACTAAATCCCAGACTTTGTTTTGTGTAGCTATTTAGTTTTTGAGCAAGCTTGATAAAGGAGCAATTCCTATCACTGATAGGCTATCACTCACATATTTTATATCTTATTGTTTGTGTGACGGCAGAATGATTTCCGGACGTCGAATTTTTGTAAATAGCATTATCGAACTAACAATGTCCTGTTGTTCGTGGTTTGCAGAGGTTGGCTACCAGTGCACTTGATTACTCTTTTTTCTGCTGTTCTTTTTTGTCATGGTTCATATTTTCAGAATTTAGATCAAAGCATCATGCCTCGTTTCATTAGAGTGTGGAGTCAGTTGTTTGACATTTGTGCAACCACGCTGTTTATTTCTGTTTTTCAGCCTAGTTTAATACGAGTACTTTCTAAATTCGTTTAAGGAATTTCAAAATGTTGCATATCCTGATGTTTTGCTTTATCAGCATTCTGTTACCTAGTAGTTTATTCATGAAATCTCAAGTACAGATTTCCTTTTGGATAAGTTTTCAGAATGCGCAAGACTTGATTGATTCTAATATTATGCTTTGTTTGTCATGGCTTTCTTCCACCTTTGATGGTTCACATCAAGCTTACTATATTATGTTTGCAAACTAACCAGTCTTCTCGTGATAATAAAACCTGCAGATAGAAGTTGCCTCATCATGCTCAGATTTGCACAATGTAGTTGGTGATACCTATTGGGTTGCTACTAGATACTCTTTAACTTATTTTTATTCGTGATAGCTCCCATGCCAAACTGCATCTTCCCGTTAGAGACGAGATGACGCACGGATTATCTTATAAACCACTTCTCTGGTTGCAAACTGTTGAGGAGTACAGTATATGACATCAACTATTGTGGTGAGGAAGGCCGAAGGCCACATTAATCCAGCTTTGATTGTTTTAGATTAAATAACTTGTTCTGATGCATCACAGATCCATTGAAACTGATTCGGTCTTTCAAACAAACTAAGGAACAGAAATTTATAAAGAGCTGACTAACAATATGACTATAATTGTACCATGTTATATTTTACAAAATTGCCAGGATAATCTCCAGGCTTAGGTACAAATTGCCAGATCTTGTCTGGGCTGCAAAATACCATTTATTCAAACCATACCTAGAAAATTGCCGGATCTTTTCCAGGCTAGCAAAATTGCTGGATCATCCAAATAGAGCTGCTGCTGCTACTTACTACTACTACAGTGCTTGCCGGTTATTTTCTGGCAAGGTCATCCAAGCAGAGAGGTGTACAAAATTGCTGCATCTTCTCCAAGCTGAGCTGCTGGCTGACGACACAAACGACCTTCTCCTAATAGCTCGCCCATTGTCCCCTCGCTGGTCGGCCGGGAAAATTGCTCGGGAACTGCGGGCGGCGGGGGTGGCAAGCATCGGAACGTTCCGGCGGCCGTCCACCATCCAAAATTGCCGGACTGATCACGATGCTGCTCATCTGACACTACGACTATAGTAGAGTATATATATAGATAGACTAGACGAGTACCATTTGGAAGTGAAGGTTTTGGAGTACCGATCGGCGATCGAGGGCTAATCGTCGCTGTCGTCCCCGAACAGCAGGTCCTCGAGGCTTGAGCCGCCGGAGCAATGGAACTCGTTGGACGAGCCCTGCGTCTCGTTGCCGTCGGCGGCGTAGTAGTTCATGCCGCTCCCACCGGCACCACCCATGCCGTGGAACTCGGGCAGTAAGTTGGAGAAGTTGCTGTTGCCGGTGAACGACGGACCTGGCATGGCGCTGGCGTTGCAGGGCTCGAAGGGGCGCCACATGGCCAGATCGGACATGGCGCCCGCGTAGCCGCTGCTGTTGCCGCCGTCGTAGCACGGGAAGAAGCCGCCGTGCCCGTGGTAGTTGCCGCCGTTGCCCTGCATCGGCAGCTGGTAGCCGCCCATGCCGTGCGCGCCGGTGCCGGTGCCGATGACGTCGCGTTGCTGGTTGTACGACGCAGGCTGCTGCAGCTGCATCCGCTGCATCGTGTTCATGGCGTCGTGGTAGTAGTCGCGTGGCATCATCATCATCGCCTGGTCGAGCAGGGGGGCATCGTGGCGGGGGTTGTTGTACGCGGCCTGCATCGCGTTCATGGCGCCGTAGCTGCAGCCATCGGGCTGCATCATCATGCCGCCGCCGTGCCATATGGCCAGTTGGAGGAGGTCGGCGCCGCCTGGTCCCTGCTGCTGCAGCTGCTGCATCGGGTAGCCGCCGTCGTCGCTCGAGGAGCTCCCACCGGCAGCAACCGGTCCGGAGTCCACGCGCGCAGTCTCGACGACCGCGCCGCCATCGCCCGCGGGCGTCAGCCCGAGCGCCCTCCGCCTCCCCGCAGCGGCCGCCATCGCGGCGTCGACGGCCCCGAGCAGCTCGCGCAGCTCGTCCAGCGTCATCCGGCCCAGCTCGACGTGCGGCGCCGCGAGCGCGTCGGGCCCGCCGTGGCGCACCCGGGCCAGCTTGGTCCGCTCCTTGACCAGCAGGCCCTCGAGGTAGCCGCGGTGCGCGTGGCCCACGCGCCGCACGGCCGGGAGCGCGCGGTACCTGGCGAGGACGCCCTCCTCCGACTCCACCACGGTCGGCGCAGACGACGGCGACGGGGACGCCGCAGAGCACGGCGAGCTGGTCCGCCTTGTCCAGCAGCCCGCGCCTCCGGTTCTTGAAAGACAGGCCCCGCCTCCGCTCGTTCTCGATGAGCCCCGTCGGCGTCTTGCCGCGCGGCATGGCTCCTCTCCTCTCGTCTCCGGTGGCTGCAGAAACCTAGCTAGGGGCGGGCCGTGGCGGTGGCGAGATTACTGTAGCCGACCGGCCGGCCTGCCGGATCGGGATATATATAAGCGCGGGCCGAGCCCCACCGGGCAGCCTGTGTTGCACCGGACGTGGCGGACTCGATCGGTGCGGCTAGGGTGGCCTCCCTGGTGCCCCCTGGGGGAGCCGCGTCATTAATTACTCGGCGTAATTCATTTTTAGTTGGAGCAAAATGCCGAGTGGCGAATCCATATCCAGGTTTGGATCGTCAATCCCGTGATAATTTGCACTAAACAATGTGTCGTCATCACTAATTAAGCTTGGGGGATTGGCTTGGCTATACGATATGGTAATATCCTTTTGCAGATCTGATCGAGCCCGAATCCTTGGCCATTAATGCTGGATCGGGCCTTTCCTTTTTTGCTTCTCCCGTGCTCCGAACAATTTGGTGGAGACCGTGCGTGCCCCGAACAAACTTCTCCCGTGCGTGCGGCCGACCCGGGCTCCGAACCTTCTCCCGTACGATTTGGAGGGTCCCACGTGGACAGGTTCAAGGCTGGCAAACCAGTTCCATCCACGCATTCAAGTCTAGTTTGATCCACAACAAATATACACTCCCTGTAAAGAAATACAAGAGCGTTTAGATCACTACTATTTCCTTATGTCCTTATGGAGGGAGTAGTCTTGGTTTTGATTCATTCGCGTACCAAAATTGATGGAGCATGGAGTATGTCAGCTAGGAATGCAAATACGTGCACTTCAACCCTTTTCAAATTTTCTTTCAACACATACGACAATTCTTCTCAAGGGAAAGCATGCATGGGCTTTCACCGCTTCGGTAGACTTGCAATGATCTAGTTTCTTTTCATATATTCCAAGCCGGAAAAAAAAGTTGTAACTGTGGGATTTTTCATGAGTTGGATTTAGTGTTGAATCTTGCATTAATTTTGCATATTTTCTTAAAACAGAGGGCCACAATATATCTAACAAATGCAGCTATATCTTATGTCTATATATACCAATATAATGATAATGATAAAATATAAAAAGATTCAAAGGGGAATATCAAACTAATCTCGGCCATCAAACCAGGTCAATCCAACGACCTAGATTGCTCAAACGGTGAGTGCTCAACAGGTTTAGCGTGCAATTAGTATCATACCAAATATCAACGTCAAAATTAATGCGCAAACAATATCATACCTAATACTCCCTCTGTTTTTATCTACTCTGCATATTAGAGTTGACTGAAGTCAAACTTCGTAAAGTTTGACCAAGTTTATAGAAAGCAATACAAACATTTACCATAACAAATCTATATGATGTTGAAAGTACATTCAATAATAAATCTAATGTTATTGATTTGTTATTGTACTACCTCCGTCCGGTTTTATTGGTCCCCTTTGTATTTTGAGTCCAACTTTGACCATAGATTTGACTAAAAAATTATAAGTTGTGTGTCAAAAAACTTATATTGTTGGAATCATATCTGCAAGAGGTTTCAATGATACTATTTTTAGGGTATATAACTTATTTTTTAATAGTTGAATCAGAGGTCGAAGTTTGACCCAAACTACATGGAGGCCTATATGTTAATATTTTTGTTTATAAACTTTGTCAAAGTTTACAAACCTTGACTTTTACTACAGCTAATATGCGGACTAAATAAAAATGGAGGGAGTACTTTTGCGCAATTGATATACTACCTAATATTAATGTGCATTACACATCACATTTAATAGTATTGTCATCAACGTATTATCAACTGTGCAAAGTGCATGAACGGGACTAGTGTGTTTAGTGATAGAAGCAAAAGGAACCGTTCAAGGTTCCTGGTTTCCTAAATCTACTCCCTCTGTTCCGAAATATAAGTCTTTCTAGAGATTCTAACAAGTGACTACATACGGAGTAAAATGAGTAAATCTACACTCTAAAATATGTCTACATACATTCGTATGTTGTAGTCCATTTCAAATGTCTAAAAAGGCTTATATTTAGGAACAGAGGGAGTACATGATAAGGAGTGATGTGTAGAGAGAAATATCTCATCGTTGCTGAGAAATGCTTATTGCGCTTAATGACCGAACGAGACAATTAAAAGCACAAGTTAATGATCTACATAACCAAGATATGCATGTACATATTTTTCATTTTGCACTCTATTATATCACTTTTGAATTTTAATAGTGCATTTTAATATTTTATTATGTAGACATGATTTGGAATTCACCTCTGGTCCTCCACTAAATGGCAACCTTTCACTCGTGGTGGTCTGAAAGATGGTGAAACTTACGCTCTAGGGAAGGTATCTATCTTACTGTTCACTAAATATAACAGTTCTACCATTTCACCTTTCCTTTTTATTATACGAAACTAGTTTTTTTCATGTAATAAATCTATAGTGTGTCCAGTCTGGATGATCCAAACCACCAACCTATTGCCACTAGACCTATCAAAGCGCGATGGTGTAGATCAAGGTCGTGGTGTAGTAATCAAATACTAGATTTTGTGTTGTGATCAAATTGTACATGTAGAGATATTTTGTATTGATACGTTGGAGTGTCGATGCATGGTATGTGCAATGAGCTATTTGGAGATTATACCACAAGATCAATGTACAATGTGGCTCCTTTATCTGAAAAACATATGTATGTCTTGAAACCCACATTGTGGTGTATGTTTCGAAAAAATGTGAATATTCTATGATTTATTGAAAACTAAATCTACATGTGTTGAGAAAATGTGAACTTTGATTTGTTAAAAAATAAATTTGCATGTGTTACATGGATGTGTTCAAAAATTTCTACTCATTAAAGTGTGCAATCTGGTACAGAAATTCTCCAATATTAACGAAATGTTCAAAGATAACAAAATAGGACATCATGGGGTGGCTCGTGGACGACGGACGATACAAGTTGGGGGAGTAATTGTCCTCATTTGTGAGGCGTGATGGTGATCCGAGTGCAGGAGATGGCCGTCCTTGGTGTCGAATTCCAGCATGGCCACGACCGCCCTCCTCGAGGGTGGCGGTGCATCAGGCTCCCGAAGCACGATGATCTCCAAGGTGTGAAGGAGAGGGCACCAACACTACTCGTGGGAGGGTTCTCCATCTGTCCATCATGTTTCCTGCTACGGATCGCTCGACCATGGAGAAATCATTCCACTCGCCAATGAGCCTAGGATGCGATCAACGCGTACCATTTTCTCAATGCACCTCTATCACATCCCCTAAAACTTAACTCTACTTACCACCTTCATAAACTTAACTTCCAAAAATTTGAGGGGTTTGTGAGGCCTAGTCCTTCCCCTAAATCTAACTTTCAATAGTTTGAGAGGTCTGAATAGGTGAGTGTCCAAATTCTCCTACTTTTGAGAAGTGGCTTGGTTATTGGGGAAATTTCCTTATTTTAAGGGAGTTCTCAAATTTTGGGACAAAAGCTAGATAGGTAGGTCCCAAAAAATTAGTTTTCAAAGTGTTTTATGATTTTTGCGGAAGTACGAGGATACCCGTTTTATTTTGAGACTGTCCATGTGGCGGCTGAACAAATAGGGGTTGCACGGGCGAACCGGTCTCCACTCTCCAAAAAGTTTTCACTACTGCTTAGGTCGAAGCTTCGCATTAAGCAAGTACAATAAGATGATGTATGCAGGCTATAAAAGATGCCACATCAAATTTTTGTTTAGTTGAAAGAGTCTTCCAACATCCTTTGTGAGAGGAAAAACCAAGCCACGTATTAATGACATAGCATTAATATATGACTTATTATTCTATAAAAATGGACTATTTTATTGGTTATAGATGATAGGTCTACTTCACATAGCAAGTTGTGGGTTTGTACTATCTCCATTCTGATTTATTAGTCTCCTTCGCATTTAGGGTCATACTTTGACCATAATTTTAACTAATAAAATACTATTTCATCATGTAAGACGTTTTTTTGATACCACACACGACACTAGTGTAAAAGAAGTGTCTTACATTACGGGACATGGGTAAGTTATACATAGCAAAAATAATATTATCAAAAAGTTATTTAAATATGAATCCAACGATATAATATTTAATGACATGCATTAATATTTTCTTAGTTAAATCTATGATCAAAATTTGGTATAAACTATGAAGGGGACTAATAAACCAAGACTATTATAATGCTCTAATTTTGCTTCCTTTTCACGTCCAAATTTTTTCCTAATGAAATGCTGCAAGGAGGAAGCGGAAAGGAAATTGTTATTATGTGCGAAGGGAAGGAGGCCAAGCAACAATCCCTTTCCATTACTATCATATATACTCACTCCTTCCATCTATATAGGGCCTAATGCATTTTTTAAGATCGCATTTGACTATTGATAAGATTAATAGTACATGACATGCACAATGTAAAAATTATATCATTGAAAGCTCCTTTCACACACGAATTTAACAGTGTGCTTTGTGTAAGTTGTATGTCATATATTATTGCTCTAATATTTGGTTAAAGTTAGTCTCGAAAAACGCATTAGGCTCTATATAGATAGATTATATAGACTCAGACGATTTGTATACATATATGCTCATGCATTTACCTCTATGAACATACGTACGCACACTCTATTTTTATAAACACTGTCAAGATACTAAGCCGGCAGTCGCTATAGACGTCTTCGTGATCATAGAGCATGTCTCCCACACCGAACACACGTCGCCCATAGGGCTGAGTTAAATCCAGCAAACATAACTCGACTAGTTTGTTAACACCAAACTCCGCTGCGGGTAAAATGCCGGTCACTATTATCTCAGGCGATGCAGCCGAGGCTCAGGCACCCTTCAGTAGGCTCTGGCGAGGACGCCGGCCTCCGTCTCCATCACAGTCGGCGCGCCGCCCCAGGGGTCGGCGCAGACGACCGCGACCTGGGCCCCGCAGAGCGCCGCGAGCTGCCCGGCCTTGTCCAGCAGCACCCTCCTCCGGTTCCTGAAGGCCAGGGCCCGCTTCCGCTCGTTCTCCATCAGAGCCGGGACGCCCTCCTCCGTCTCCATCACGGTGAGCGCGCCGCCCTCGGGGTCGGTGCAGACGACCGTGACGGCGACCCCGCAGAGCGCCGCGAGCTGCCTCGCCTTGTCCAGCAGCCCCCTCCGCCGTGTCGTGAAGGCCAGGCGCCGCTTCCGCTCGGTCTCCATGAGGCGCGCCATGGCTTCGTGGCTCCGGTGGTCACTGTTGCCGATCGACCGCCCGGCCTGCCGGATCGGGATATATATAGGCGCGGCGCGGTCTCGGACGCTGTCGCTACGGTCGTTGTGCGATGTGATTCGTGGACTTCGAAGATGCAAAAAGGCAGGAGTCTGTATATATGGAGAGCCTTGACGTGCTCGTAGGTACAATCCGAGGCGGAGTTGGCATCCGAGTATAGATCGTTTCCGCGTCTGCACGTTCGTACGATCGAAGCGGAAAATTGTCGGAAATATGAGCAAATTACTACGAGATTTAATCTGAATAAATAGAAGATAAATCATGACCACAACAGCAGAGATTAAACTAATCATACGAACTAGCATAGTAGATGAACATATCACATTTAGGGCACATACTAGAAGCATGAATTCTACCACGACCTCGAACAGGAAGGATAGAATCACATACGGTGCAGCACCGCCGGTGTTGACATTGTCACCCATGTCGTCGAGGACGAGGTTGGCGAGGTCGGGGAAGAAGTCGTCGTTCGCGAAGTCGTCGCTGCCAGCAGTCACGCGAGTGCGCTCCCCAAAAATCTGATCGCCCCTCTCCCGTACAGGATCACGAGAGGCGGGGTTCCGGAGGCCTGCTGTCCCTTCTCGCGGTGCACGCCGGAAGGAGGGATGGAGAAGACTTGCTTGACGACGCAATGATCTGGAATGGTGGTGAGAAACCATACGAAGCCGCGGCCGCTAGGGTAGACGTCTGCCTGACTATATAGTGCGGGTTGGGTAGGTCGTGGGAGTAAACCCCACGTCCGAGTCGTCACGATCCAAAATAATCGGAAACGGTTCAGTAATTAACGCGTCCGTTAATTATTAATTAATGACTCATTAATTTTCCCATGCAGCAAAAATATAGACAACGTGCATAGCTCTGTCCTCGACTCGGCTCAATCACGCAACCCGCGGCGCGGCGCGGCGAGTCGTGGCGTGGCGAGGCGAGCGAGGAGGAGGAGCGTGTGTGTAGGTCTCCTCTTCTCATGCTCATACAAGTGGTAGAAGAGCTCACCTTATAAAGAGGTGCAACTCTCTCTCAACTTACGGGGCAGGACTAAACTTTAGCCTCACTCACTCCACTCACATGTGTGCATGAATAGGCCAAGAGAATTTCAGAATTTTAGTTAGGCTTTGGGCCAAAGGCCTACTAGCAAAATTTCAATAATCCCCCACAAAGTCTCATTGGCACATCTCATCATTTAGTTCCAAAACATTGTTTTATATATCGGTGCTTAGTGGAGACTGTAAAGTTGAACTTCCACTTAGAAATTTATGCTACACTAGATCACAACTTGAATAGTGGACTATGCCTTGAACTACAAGTTTTCTGTGAAACTAGTTTCACACAAATTCTTGACCGATACTGGGCTGCCGCAAGGCTTCCCCGCGGGTGGAGCGTATACGTCATACTCCGGGGCCTTTCATGAATTTATTAGAGAACACCCAATTCTCACAGACTGCGACGTTAACAGTCAAATTCATATAGGTGTGTTCCTCAGAAGATGTTCTGCAGGACAACATCTCTGCCTACCCGAATAAGCCACTTGGAACACATTAAGATAAGTATCAACCTGCCATGCAGATCAGGAGAGTATTGCATCTTCACGGAGTGGGATAATTAATATAGGGATACTCTCCTCCCAGCTGACCAACAGCTTGTCTCCCACTTCTACTTCACGGGATCTCTGATCACATAAAGTGGGTTACCACTATGGACAACTCATGCGGTGGGTCTCAAACCCATCTCCATCGATGCATTATCTATCACATTACGTGATAGACCCTTTGTGAAGGGATCTGCTAAGTTTTTCGACGTTTGGATATAATCCAACGTAATAACTCCGGAGTTCCTCAATTTTCTGACAGATTTTAGTCTCCTCTTCACATGCCTTGAGGACTTCATATTGTCCTTAGAACTGTTTATCTTGACGATCACAGTTTGATTATCACAGTTTATCAGGATATGGGGTATTGGTTTTTCAACCATAGGTAAGTCCATCAAGAGTTCACGAAGCCACTCTGCTTCAACAGTGGCAGTGTTTAATGCTGTGAGTTCTGCTTTCATAGTTGACCTCGTTAAGATGGTCTGCTCGCAAGACTTCCAGGAAACAGCGCCACCACCAAGTGTAAAAACATAACCACTTGTGGCCTTAATCTCATCAGCATCAGATATCCAGTTTGAGTCACTATAACCCTCCAGTACCCTTGGATACCCGGTGTAGTGAATCCCATAGCTCGCGGTGCCTTTCAAATAGCGCATAACTCTCTCAAGCGCATGCCAATGATCATCTCCCGGTTTTGACACAAACCGACTCAGCTTGCTCACAGCAAAAGAGATGTCAGGCCTTGTGGCACTCGCCAAATACATAAGCGAGCCAATAATCTGAGAATACCTCAGTTGATCTCTAGCAATCCGTTGATTCTTTCGAAGCAACACACTAGCATCATATGGAGTTGGAGAAGGCGTGCAGTCGCTATACCCAAAACGACTCAAGATTTTTTCCACATAATGAGACTGAAGCAGTGTGATCCCACCATTCTCATCTCTCAACAGCTTGATGTTTAAGATAACATCAGCTACTCCTAGATCCTTCATCTCAAAACAGCGAGATAAGAAATCCTTAACCTCCTTGATTAAATCAAGTTTGGTTCCAAAGATCAATATGTCGTCGACATACAGACAAAGAATAACTCCTTCGCCCCCACCATAGCGATAGTACACGCACTTGTCACCATCGTTTACTACAAAGCCGGCAGCAGTTAATGTTCTTTCGAACTTCTCATGCCACTCCTTAGGAGCTTGTTTAAGGCCATATAAAGACTTTAATAACTTGCACACTTTCCTTCATAACCAGGTACTACAAAACCATCTGGCTGATCCATGTAAATTTCCTCCTTCAACTCTCCATTGAGGAAAGTCGTCTTAACGTCCATTTGATGAACGAGAAGACCATGTGAGGCAGCCAGTGATAGTAGCACCCGAATTGTGGTCAGTCTAGCCACGGGTGAGTAAGTATCAAAGAAGTCTTCACCTTCTTTCTGGGTATAACCCTTGGCCACAAGCCGTGCCTTGTACTTTTCAATCGTATCATCAGGTCTAAGCTTCTTCTTGAACACCCACTTACATCCTATAGGTTTGCACCCATAAGGACGGTCAGTGATCTCCCGGGTACCATTAGCTAAGATGGAATCCATATCGCTACGTACAGCTTCCTTCCAGTAGTCAGCATCAGGAGATGCATAGGCTTCTGAAATAGTCCTGGGTGTGTCATCCACGAGGTACACAATGAAATTATCACCAAAAGACTTTGCAGTCCTCTGTCTCTTACTCCTCACAGGAGTTCCATTGCTGCCCTCAACAGGATTCTCAACGTGTTCCATCGCAATGGTGGGTTCAGGAATTACAGTGAATTCCTCACTAGATGGAGTAGATATCTCCTGATTTGATGAACTCGACATATCCTTCATAGGAAATATGTCCTCAAAGAAAGTTGCATCATTTGATTCCATAATCGTACCAACATGCATGTCGGATACCTCAGATTTTATTATCAAAAATTTATAGCCGATGCTATGAAAAGCATAGCCCAGAAGAACACAATCCACGGTTTTTGGTCCAAGCTTGCACTTCTTGGGAATTGGTATATTGACTTTCGCCAAACAACCCCAAGTACGTAGGTAAGAGAGTTTCAACCTTTTCCTTTCTCATTCCTCAAATGGAGTCATGGTCTTATGCTTTGTGGGAACTCGGTTTAGGACATGACATGCAGTCATTAGCGCCTTCCCCCACCATTCCTTGGATAGACCCGAAGTGTCTAACATGGTGTTAACCATATCAGTTAAAGTTCGGTTCTTTCTTTCGGCTACCCCATTTGACTGGGGTGAGTAGGGAGGCGTCCTCTCATGGATTATACCATGTTCCGCACAAAACAGATCAAATTCATTGGAAAAATACTCTCCACCACGATCGGACCTAAGCCGTTTAATTTTTCGATCAAGTTGGTCATTTGCCTCAGCTTTATAGTTTTTTAAAAAAGTCAAAGCCTCATCTTTTGATTTCAGAAGATACACATAACAATATCTAGTGGAGTCATCAATCAACGTCATGAAGTATCTCTTTCCACTTTTTGTTAACACGCCATTCATCTCACAAAGATCAGAATGTATAAGCTCTAGTGGCGCCAAGTCTCTTGCCTCTGCAGTCTTATGAGACTTGCGAGGTTGCTTAGCTTACACACATACTTGGCACTTGGAGACTTTGATAGTAGAGATTTTCGGAATTAAATTCATATTGGCTAACCGTGTCATGCACCCAAAGTTAATATGACAGAGTCGTGAATGCCAAATATCAGACTCATTATTGTGGCAAACATTATTAATAACTTTAGTGCAAATATCTGATAAAGGTAGGCGGAACAAGCCTCCACACTCATAGCCTTTTCCAACAAATTGTCCACACTTAGAAATTACAACTTTATTGGATTCGAAAACCAACTTAAAACCATCTCGACATAAACGGCAACCGCTAACGAGATTTTTATTGATGGACGGCACATGATGAACGTTCTTCAGACGCACAGTCTTCCCCGAAGTAAACTTCAGATCGACCGTACCAACACCTCAAACGATGGCATGTGACCCGTTCCCCATCAGCACGGGTGAAGTCCCTGTTGCCTTGATTCCTTCATATCAAAATCACCGATGACAACATTAGCGGACTTGCCGCTCTTCTCATGTTCGCGCTCCTCAAAGCGGTTAGGACATTTCGGAGCCCAGTGATTAGGATCACCGCAGACATGGCATAGTCCCTTCCCCTTCTTATGAGAATTCTTCTTGAAGTTGGTAGAATGTGATGGCTTGTTCTTTGTATCAAACTTGCCTTTGCCCTGAGTTCTGTTCTTATTGTTTTTGAACTTGTTGGGCTGGGAGTTCTTCTTCTGTACCATGTGGGCACTAGAACCTCCCTCGGCAACTCGAGCACGTGTGTCCTTTGCTCTCGCCTTCTTTTCAACATCAAGAGTACCAATGAGATCCGCAACGGAAAACTCCTGTCTCTTGTGTTTCAGGGAAGTAGCAAAATTGTTCCACGAAGGTGGAAACTTGGCAATGATGCCTCCGGCAACAAATTTGTCCGGCAACACATACTTGAAGTACTCAAGTTCTTTTGCGAGCGATTGTATCTCATGAGCCTGCTGTACAACAGGGCGCTCATCAGTCATCTTGTAGTCATAGAATTGCTCCATGACGTACAACTCGCTGCCGGCGTCCGAGGCACCAAATTTGGCCTCGAGCGCAGCCCACATGTCCTTGCCGTTGTCGAACGACATATACGAATCCACAATGGAGTCATCAAGAACACTCAGAAGAGCGCCTTTAAACAGGGTATCGATCTTCTCAAAAGCTTCCAACTGTGCTGGATTAAGATCGCCCTCATGCTTGCCCTTGGTGGCATCATAGCAGCCCATGGTCTGAAACCAGTAGACTGCTCTCGTGCGCCACCTCTTATATTGCGCCCCCCTTAAAGGCAGGCGGCTTCAGATGTGCAGCAAAACCACTCGGAGTAAATTGCCTATAATCAGGTTTTTGAATTGTTGGAAATATGAGCAAATTACCACGAGATTTAATCCGAATAAACAGAAGATAAATCATGACCACAACAGCAGAGATTAAACTAATCATGCGAACTAGCATAGCAGATGAACATATCACATCTAGGGCACATACTAGAAGCATGAATTGTACCACGATCTCGAACAGGAAGGATAGAATCACATACGGTGCAGCGGGTGCAGCACCGCCGGCGTTGACGTTGTCGCCCATGTCGTCGAGGACGAGGTTGCCGAGGTCGGGGAAGAAGTCGTCGTTCGCGAAGTCGTTGCTGCCAGCAGTCGCGCGAGTGCGCTCCCCAAAAACCTGATCGCCCCTCTCCCGTACAGGATCATGAGAGGCGGGGTTCCGGACGGAGGGATGGAGAAGACTTGCTTGGCGGCGCAATGATCTGGAACGGTGGTGAGAAACCATACGAAACCGCGGCCGCTAGGGTAGACATCTGCCTGACTATATAGTGCGGGCCGGGTAGGTTGTGGGAGTAAACCCCACGTCCGAGTCATCACGATCCAAAAAAATCAGAAACGGTTCAGTAATTAACGCGTTCGTTAATTATTAATTAATGACTCATTAATTTTCCCATGCAGCAAAAATATAGACAATGTGCATAGCTCTGTCCTCGTCTCGGCTCAATCCCGCAACCCGCAGCGAGGCGAGTGAGGAGGAGGAACGCGCGTGTAGGTCTCCTCTTCTCATGCTCATACAACTGGTAGAAGAGCTCACCTTATAAAGAGGTGCAACTCTCTCTCAACTTCCGGGGTGGGACTAAACTTTAGCTTCACTCACTCCACTCACATGTGTGCATGAATGGGCCAAGAAAATTTCAGAATTTTAGTTGGGCTTTGGGCCAAAGGCCTACTAGCAAAATTCCAACAAAAATTGCCTTTTGTCAAATTATTTTTCTTTGGGAATACACCCACAAATACGGTATATGGGTCCCACCAAAAGAAGCCTTTTGTCGGATGGTACGCGCTGCCCGTTCTATCTCTCAAACTAACTCATCCATTTATTCCATCTTTGCTAACTTAAAATCATTCATATTCATATTTATTAGACCAAAATTTCGACTTCAAAAATTTATATAAAATATAAATATGAACTCCTGTCGCAAAGACTTTTAAAACAAGACAGATTTTGAATACATTTAAATCAGTTCGAAAGATCATCAAACATATTTCACAAAAAACACATCTATTTCAATTCCGCATTTAAAAAAAAAATATTCCACTATTTTGAAATAAACTTTTACAAGATTTTAAATAATCTATTTCAGAAGTTCTCATTTCAGTTTCATATTGTTTCCATTTTCAAAACCCGCATTTTCACTTTTCACTTTCACTGCTTGTTTCACAAAAATCAGATATTTTTTAATTCCATGTTTTGGAATAACATATTGCACTCTTTTAAAATGAGATGCTATACGTTTCAAAATAATCAATGTCACTAGTTAACATTTTAATTTCGTATTGTTTTCATTTTCAGAAGACACATTTCACTTTCCATTGGCTTTTTCACAAAAAGCATGTCTATTTCAATTGCATATTTTTTAAATGGAACATTTCATGCTTTTGAAATAAATGTGTACTCATTTTAAAATAATCAGTTACACAAGTTGACATCTCAGTTTCATATTGTTTTCATTTTCAGAACCCACATTTCACTTTTCACGGTTTGTTTCACAAAAATCACATATTTCAATTTCACTTTTTAAAAATAACATATTTTCACACTTATGAAATAAACTATTACACATTTTAGAATAATCAGTTTCACAAATTAGCATTTTAGTTTCATATTTGGGGTAAATAGGTTTCTAGTGAAATAGGTTGGTTTCACATTTGTCTAGCTAAAAAAGGTTTGTTTCACATTTTTCTAGTGAAATAGGTTTGTTTCACGTATGGAATGTAAAATGTCAACAATTAAATTTTATTGAGGTTTGATTTTGTTCTGAAGGTCCTGGCAGAAGGAGTTCAATTATATAAAAAATTAATTCTGAAATGGAATTTTTGTTTAAGAGATATGAACGATCCAAATTATGAAAAAGAAAATTAAAGTGATGGAGAAAGATGTGTATCATGCATGTTTCCTTTTTCTGACTATGGTAGAACCCACCCAGTGGTGTGTCTCCAAATACGTAAAAACGTTAAAGGTAAGTGTTCAATACATACATATCCAATCGTAGTGGGTCCTAGTCACACAGATCTCAAAGAAAATGAATGGTGGTAGTTGTACCACTAGGTAACGTTAACGCGCAAAGTGACTTCGTGGCTACGCGAGTTGCAAGGTCGCTGGCTCCTGGGCCAGCTCAGTAGCGTTTCAGTCTGCTCTAGTTTTTCTAATTTTTAGTTTTCTTCTTTTTTTTTCTTGTGGTTTTCAGATTTTTTTTAATCTCTTTTCTTCTCATTTTTACTTTATTGCACTTTCTTTGGCCTTTTTTTCATTTATAAATTTATTTTTATACATGAACAAATGTGTCACATATTTTTGAAACACGGTCTTTTCATTATATGTTGAACAATTTCTTATATATAGTTAATATTTTTTAAATATAGAATGAACATATTGTTGTAACAGTGAACATTTTTGAAAACAAGCTAAACATTATTTGAATATATAACGTATATACAATGTTTTTATAATTTTTTTACTTTAAATTTAATAATACATTTTCTATAAGTATATATTCTGGAATTTTTAAACATATTAGTTAATGTATTATTTTTGTTAGAAAATTAGATAGCCTAAATAGGCCGTTGTACTTTGAGCACATTTTTAGGTCCCAAATAGGGGGTGTCACCAATTCAGGGTTGTGCTACTGTTGTCCTCCATATCAAGCAATGATCCAGGGGTGATGGAGTACGTCTTCTTGCACTAAGGTGCGCTTGCTTGTGGGAACCTCCCTTGACCATCCCCTCTTATGAGTTACTTACGACATGAGAAGCCTTATGAAGAGATAGTGATGCCTGCTATGACACCATAGATGTTGATGTTTTTCCTACAAACTTGATCAAATGTAATAAGGTTTAAGGTAAAGATAATCCGAACAGGGCATATTTTGAGTTTGTGGGAATCGAGAATGGCACAACATTTTGAGATTGTGGGAGTCGAATATGTGCTCACCAACATCTTCAGTGAGCAGGCTTGTGTCCTTCATCACTGGATAATCCATGAGATGGTTTCCAGGCCTCACCAACATTTTCGCGAGGGCCAAATCATGAACATTGTGAATTCAAACACATGATGAAATATTTCCTGATGAAATGCTGTGAGGAGGAAGCAGATGCGGCGAAAATGAAAGTCTGATTTTATTGATCGTTATTATGTGCGGAGGGAAGGAGACCAAGCAGCAATTGGTTTCCATTACTTCCATATATTATCGTAGCAGCAGCAGCAGTAGACGATGTACATACACAAACACAACTCGACCGATCTTAGTTTCCTAATAACACCAAACTCTGGAACTCTGGATAAGAAGTCTCGGATATCATTGTTTGATTCAGGCGATGCAGTTGAGGCCCAGGCACCCTCCCAGCAGGTTCCTCAGCAACTTCTTCTGCAAGCACAAAACACAAGATTCATCACCGTTAGATCTGGTCGATCTTGCCACAATCCACAACATTCCAACACTAGCCTAATTTTTCTTTTGAGTTTTTTTAGTACTAGCTAATTAGCCACCACTTTTGCCAAAGCAAAGTCGTACGAATTATCCTAAGAAAGCAAGAAGAGACATTTGCAAAAAGTTGAGATTTTATCTTTCTGGAAAGGAAAAGAAGTTCTCTTCAGATTATCCATTATCTTCTTATCCTAAAAGGTTTGCGTCAATCACATGACGGGAAACTAGCCAAAGCAAGTCCATTTCTTTTCATCTTTTTGGCGTCTAAAAGTAAATCCACTTGGCATCCAAAAAAATCCACCAATCACGTGACAGATTATTAGCAAAAATGAAAAGGGTATGAGCACTTGCCTTCTGCACCTTGCAGATGACGTTGGGGGAGATCTTGTAGAGGTCCTCGTCCACCGCCGCCGCCGCCGCCGCCTTCTTGGCCTTGGGCTTCTTCCTCCTCTGCTGCTGCTCCTTCTTCCCTTGCTGGCGGTTCTGCTGCTGCTGCTGCTTCCTGCCCCCCTTCTTCCTCCTCCCGGCCACAGCACCGGCACCGGGGTTTGCGTTCGGCTTCTCGTCCTCCTCCCCCTTCTTCACTCGGACGACGCACTGCATTTTCACATTGATCGTCAGCTGCTGAAAACTCAGTTGATCTGGAAATAATGCTGTTGTGTGTGAGTCCGACCTTCTTGTAGGTGTAGGGGTTGGCGGCGAAGTGTGGCACCTTGAAGAGGTCGACGTCGTCCTCCCCTGCCTGCGCCGTGAAGAAGAAGGTGGCCGCCGGCTCGAAGTACTGGGTCACGGGCATCTCCTCCCACATGTTCCAGTCGCCGAACGCCGGGATTTGGCGCCACTTTCCGCAGTCATCCTGCGCCTGACACAAGACCAAACAATGGAACCAACTTGCTTAAATCCCTGTGCGCATGGTCTTCTTCCTCAAGCAAGAACCAAAAAAGAAAGAATGTTCGGCTGGAGCAGAGGAATCATGGAGGTCGAGAACAAGAAGCATTGTGAACAGTGCCGGTACGTATGATCTAATTAAGAAGGAAACGCAAAACTTTCAGGTGCTCTGAACAGTCGTATCCGATGCAGAACATGCACTTTGCTGGGGGGAAAAATGGCCTGCTGCTACGAGCGGCCATAGTACTGCGTTACAGTGGAAGAGAACACATCCACCAGCAGCGCACATTGCAGAAGATAAAGATTCGAACCCCAAACTGTGTGGCGTCGCGAGATTCAGCTACAAGTACTGAAGCAGCAGTGCACACCCTACAGCAAAGGAGGAGAATGAAAGAAGAGCATCTCCATGCATGCATGCAATGCAAGGCTCACCTCCATCTCGCAGCTAATGACAAGCTGAGGAAGAAGAAGGAGGAGAAGCAGCCACGAGGAGAAGAGCAGGGGGCAGTCAAAACACTGGTGGCACGGGCAGAGGAGCACGGGGCAGGGGTGTATACATAGCCACCGGAAAGGCTGGACCGGGGCAAAGAGAGAGGGAGAGGGAGGGAGATGGAATGTGGGGGCGCGCACGTTGTACCGCCCGAAAAACTTTACGAAAAGCCGGCGAGAAAGAAAGCAGGCAAGGCAGGCCGTGTTTGCTCGCTATGCGGCCAGAGGCAATGAGTACTGTGCTCCTGCATCATGCCCCTACTCATTTGACTCGTGAGCCACGCACGACACTCGACACACGCCCCCTCGCTTTCCGAGCTGCTGTCCCTAGCGTTCGCACTCATATGATGCCGCTCTTTTCCCTGGCCGGCGCCAGCTCGCCCGGTCCAAGTCATGAGATGAGCAGGAAGACTTCATTATTTACCCCCTCTCTGTCTTTCACTGTCTGTCTCTCACTGCCGCTGGGCCTAGGCTGGGGCGTGGCAGCAAAGGCGAGCGCTTTTGGCAACAGGGTGTTGCGGCCGTGATGATAGGCGATGAGTGTGCGTGTGTCGCATGCTCTTGTCTTTGTCACCCGCCCGTCCGGCCCGGCGGGCAGGTGCTGCGCGCATGGCATGGTGAACGGAAAAGCGGCCGCTTTTCCCTTTGGAACCGCGGCCAAAATCGCCATGATTCTTGGGGCTCCGCGCGGGCGGGCCTGCACGCTTTGCCGCTTTGCACCGGCCGGCTCGCGGTTAACGGACGGGGAAAGGAGGACTGGCTTCACTAATTTATCATCTACCGTGTGGTACTTGCTTGCTTTGCTTGTGAGTTTTGAAAGGAGGGCGTACTTGCTTATCTTACCGGCGGTGGCTTTTGAAAGGGAAAAATGGGTCGTGGATTGGCGAGGAATAATGGCGTTCGGCGTGTAACGTGCACAGTCGATTTGTTGAGTGAGGGTGGCGAGCCCTTTTAAAAGTCACTCGGGGTGTCGTCGCTAACCAGAGCACACGCATGGTTTGGTGCCAAACTTGCATGATTGCGGTGTGCACCTGCGTTTACTGTGGCTTTCGGTAAACAGGTTTCTAAGCAAGCGGCTTAGGAAAAGTTCCGGAAGGCGGTGGCCCTGGGTTGGTAACTATATTACTGTCTCTAACGACCGTGGCCCTCAGCTGGCGACTCTCTTTTTCTCTGCCCGTATGAGCTCCATTTTTACGATTCTTCTCACGGGTGAACCAAAGTTTTGCCCACATGATAAGTATCACGGTCAGGTACATGACGCTCCGGTCCTAGTGGTTTTAGATGGCAATTCTAGTCACGCAAGGATGGTAAATTTCAGATACACGTCAAGTTTTTGTAAAAAAATAAACCGAAGCACCAAGGTTGACATGCTTGCCAACTAAAATTGACATCCTCGCATCATTAGACTAGCCGTTGGAAAAGTTTGACGTTGTCATGTGCTCGTATCCGACGTGTGGCATTTATCAGGATCCTTTTGCCCAAATTATAAGGGACACACGTCAGGTGCGTGGCACTCCGGTCCAAACTTTATTGAGTTTTGAAGTATCTGAGAAGATCTAGAGATTTTTTAGAATTTTCTTAGAACAATACCTGACTTTATTGATTTAGTAAAGCATAGAAATGGACGGTCACTCTGGCGGCATCTGCATCTTGAACTGTTGAAGGACACACACAATCATAATTCATCTTTGTCCATTCTGGGTCTTCTAAAAGCTCCTTTGTCGAGTACGTCGCCCTATGGAGGTGCCTACGCAGCTATGCTGGACTGTGCTCACCAATACACCGATATGGAGTTTAGGGGCTGTTTGGACACACAATCATAATTCATTTTTGTCCATTCCGGGTCTTCTAAAAGCTCCTTTGTCGAGTATGCCTACGCAGCTACGCTGGACTGTGCTCACCAATACACCGATGTGGAGTTTAGGGGCTGTTTGGTTCTCAGTCTAAGGTTGCCACGCCTAACCTTAGTAATGCCATAACATCTTAGGCATGTGTTTGGTTCATTGCCACACTTGTGGCTTGCCATTCTTTTTTAGTTATATGGCCCACAAGTCATAGATTCAATTTTTTGCCAAATCTTGCCACACTTGTGATGGTCATTTTGTTAGCCACACTTTTTGTGGCTGCCACGCTTTGCCTAAGGTTAGTTATGGCAAAGTTAGTACCGCGAAGTCTTGTTATCGCGCATTGTTTCAGGGTTCAACCACGGGAACACACTCGCGCAACCAGTGGTGGATCTAGAATTTTGAAACAAGGTGGTCCACGTTGAAATTTTTTTGACCACAAATATGATATGTCATTGGCGGATATAGGATTTCAAACTTGGGTGTTCAAAATAAACAACAACAGAAGTTGTTCCATGTCATATCTAAAAGGTCTAAGTAGCAAGAACTTTTTTTGCATCATATTGATGATAACTCGAATATCTTAAAGAAATATAAAAAAATGAAGGTAATTTACTACACAATCAAATAATCTGTCATGGTTAGGAAAAATGCATCACATCAATATCCTTTACTTGCAGAAATATTCCCGTGTGGAAAGTGAAACAAAAACCACTTTTCATGTAGCAATGGTGGCGTCAATGTGACAACGGTGCTGTAGCAAAATCAATGAGTCTGAAGGAACCAATGGAACGAGTGCTGAGTGTTGGCCTAATAAGTGTATTGGGCCACAGTGCAGTGCTGAACTGGTACTAGCTACTGATGGGCTTTTTACCTTTTTTACCACTCTATGTCTCCTATAGTATATGGGCTGATCTAAAATTCCAGGGTGGGCCACGGCCCACCCTGTCCACCCTCTAGATCCGCCCCTGGGCGCAACACTTGGAAAATTGGGCCCCCTCTCAACATAAAGATCTTTCTTTGTTCAGCATCACAAGATCGATGATGGACTGTTGATCGTCTTGACAGGCGCGACCTACCTCATGAGCGGCATTGTGTCCTATGCTCCCAGCACGAGGATATCCTGCACCATCTGCTTATTGGGTAACGTTATCTGAAGTGTTACAAACCCTCAGCGCGTCCCCCTCGTCGCCCCCTGGTAGGGCGACTCGGGCAGAGATCGCATCTGCGCCGCCGGGCTACCTCCCCCACGTCCTCCCCTCTGTCGCTGCCGGAGGAAGCCACCGGGTGAAGGATATCCCTCCCGTGTCCAGATCGGGTGAGGCAGGTCATCCATCAGGGTCGGGGCGCCTCTCCCAGATCTGGGTCGCGGCGGCGCGGCAACTCGCCTCCGGCGACGACACAAGGCAGCGGCGTGGTGGCGAACGGAGGCGGCGGAGCTGCAGGCGACGTGGGAGTCCGGGTGGTGCGGGCCACTGGCGCATCCACGTGGTCACAACGGCCATGATGGCGGTGGCCGGCAGCGGAATGTGGCCGGTGGCAGCAGGTGAAGCTCGGGCTGCCCGCGGCGACATAGCTTGGTGTTGTCCTTGTGCAAGGCGAATCTGCACCGGCGATCTGTTGTGGTTCGGATCAGAGACGGTGACGAGCGCGCGGGATCCCTCTCGACGGCTCTCACGGTTTGGAGAGGTGGGATGGCAGCCCTCCTCTCAGGCTCCAGTGGTGGCACCCACAGGCAGTGGCCGGTGTGCCAAGGGCTCCCACGGTGGCAGTGTTGTTGCGGATGGTTGCCGGATCTAGATGGCTAGATCTGGGACTTTGAAGGCAGTCAAGACAGTGCACCGGTTTGTCGGCTGGATTACTTGGGATAGATTCGGGTGAAAACCTAGTCTTCGCCCGGTGACCGGAGCCGGTGATGACTACGCCCTTGCATCGTTTCCTTCTTGAAGGCATCATCGAGGTGAAGCTCCTAGATCCTCCCGTTACCTCCGGGGGAAAACCTTAATCAATTGATCAAAATGATGGCAATGCTCTCGTGTCGTTCCCTCCTTGGAGGCGTCATTCTTGGAGGTGTGCATTGGATCGAGGGACCGGTGGAAGGTTTTACTGTTTTACTGGTGGAGCGGTGTTTCTTGTTCGCATCGGCGATGTGGAGTCTCGGCGGCGTGGCGCAGCAGGGTCTCATCAATGGATGTGTGATGATGGACGCGCGTAGGGAGGCGGCGTTGTCTGACGTCGTGGTGGCGTTGATTGCAGGCCTGACAATTGATGCGTCTGAAAGTGCAACTATCCCTAGGTCGTTTTGGTAATTCCTAACAACATATAGCTCATTGAGCTAATGCTATTTCAAGATTAATATCTCAGGAAAGCTCAATGATTGGCATGGCATGGATGAGAAAAGTGGACCCCTCAAAATGCTAATGACAAAGGATTGGCTCAAGCTCAAAGCTCAAGACTCTACATTTTCTATTTTAGTGATCCAAGATCACATTGAGTCTATAGGAAAAGCCAATACTATCAAGGAGGGATGCGGTGTTGCTTAATGAGGTTCTTGCTCAAATGCTTAGTGATATGCTCTAAAACCCTCAACTACTTTCTCACATCCACATATGACCTAAACCAAAAGTCAAACTCGGCCCCACCGATTCTTTCTATCTGGCGTCACCGAGTTTCAAATGTCATAGCCACCGCCACAAACCCTAGGAAAATCGGTCTCACCGAGATGGGGTTGTAATCTCCCTGTTTCCCTTCGTAACGTTTCGGTCTCACCGAGATGAGCGATCGGTCCCACCGAGATTGCAATGTAAACCCTCTGTTTTCCCTTCGTAATGTTTCGGTCTCACCGAAATGAGCGATCGGTCCCACCGAGTTTACCTGACCAACTCTCTGGTTAACTTATTACCAAAATCGGTCTCACCGAGTTTGTGTAATCGGTCTCACCGAGATTACGTTATGCCCTAACCCTAATCATATCGGTCCTACCGAGTTGCATGTCGGTCCCACCGAAAACCCTAATGGTCATTAGTTTTGCTGAATCGGTCCGATCGAGTTTAACCATTCGGTCCCACCGAGTTTGGAAAGTTATGTGTAATGGTTAGATTTTGT